CTACACACAGATCAGCTAGAATTCCATGTTGATATGGTGGAAGGACTGGTAAAGAAAATGTTAACTTCTGAGTTGATAACTCACCTCTTCACACAGATCAGCTAGAATTCCATGTTGATATGGTGGAAGGACTGGTACAAAATATACCCAGATGAGCACCCTTCAGAAAGCATCCAAATGATGCTCATGGGGTGTGACACCCAATAGGAGGGGCACACCCGTGGGAGACCTCATCTCTTCACCCTTATAGGAAATGGAAAGAGGCATAAAATGTGTGTTGCAAGGGCAGGTGGAATTGGTACATGGCTGCCCGAGTACTTGCACACAAGTCTTCAAATAGCCAATATGTGTAGTGTGGTGTGGAAATGTTCAAACCTGAACTTGTGCTCACACTTCAAATAAACCATCAGATTCAATGGGTTAAAACCAGCTGTGGGAGAAGAGAACTTGTGATAAGTGTCCATGCTCACCTTAACTGATGATGACAAAACCTTGTCGAAACGTTGTACATTTGCTGTTGTTAAATTTATATTAAAGTTTTTCTTCATTACCCATTCAAGCCGTCTCCAACCATTAACACCTTAACTATACCGTCAGACTCTACAGGATAGACTCCAACTGCAGGAAGAGGTCACTTTATTATATATAATATGTATACTTATATACCTAAAATCAACTGGGTATGTGTGTACTGAGTTCTCACTTCAACTTTACCAGACATTTCAACTCTGCTGAACAGGCTCATCCTCCAGTGTGATGATTCACACTACAACATTGGTTTCAACACTGCTCCACTTCTCACTGTATTGGTAACCCTTGTTCTAGTCCTAGCAATTATGATCCAATTCGATGAGGATTCTCCATAGTCTAAAGTTACTAGGAACTGGTATTTGGCAAGGATCTTCCATACTCCACTCAAAGAAGGGGAGACCCAAAGAAGATGCCTGGATTCCAACCAGTTCTTTAGTCCAATAAGGACTTTTACTGGAGATAATGGTTGCAATGGACGACTGCAAAACCCTATCCTTAAAAGTCAGCAAGAGCAAGCCAAAGAAGTGAACAGAAACCCTGGTGCTGGATTTTTCCATGATAGTCCATGGAATAGGTACAGTCTGGATTGGACAATAAATTGAATATATACCATGAGGATACCTCAAGTGGTCTTGCAGGACATCCCATCTCATAGCAGGCACATGCAGAGCCAGGGTAGATGGTATGAGCCTTTTTCATTATCCTGTTTTGGTGCAGATTTTTGGTAAGTATACCCTGAGAGGAAGTACCAGCCACCTAGTGGGATCCCAGGTAATGAAAGAGGGGTTCTGAAAGGAAATGGTATGTATTCTTCCTAAATATTGTAGGGAAATTGAAGAATGGTAACCTGTGGAAGCTGAAAACCATTGGGAAATAAAACAGCCAAAAGATGTAAAGAAGGAGATGAATGTGTGGAGAAAGTCCACATGCCTACCTGGAGAAACCCGTTCAAGGGCCGTCACAGAAGATATGTAAGAGAATGAAGAGAGGATCCACATCCTGGAACAAACATGTAAATAGAGAAGAGGACAGACCCATCCAAAAGATGTAAAGAAGGAGATGAATGTATGGAGAAAGTCCACACGCCTACCTGGAGAAACTCGTTCAAGGGCCGTCACAGAAGATATGTAAGAGAATGAAGAGAGGATCCACATCCTGGAACAAACATGTAAATAGAGAAGAGGACAGACCCATCCCATAGGGGAACAAGGAAATAGGGCCATGGAAAAAGAGGATCCCTAGCACATAGACAGACAAAGGTAAGGACCACTAAAGGGAGAGGGCCATGATAAGAACAGTCCAAGAAGACACAGGAATCAAGCCTGGTGTAAATGGTTCAGTAGGTAAGAGACAGAAGGAAGGATGATAGGAGTATGGTGTACCTCTCAAGTAGAGGAAGAAAACATTGGTCCAGAGAGAGAAAAAAATAAGTGCGGTGGAAGATGGTACAAGAAGGATCTAAAGAAGCAATGATAATTGTAGGAGAAGTAGTAGGATGAAACAAATTGTGAGAGAAAGACAGTGCAAAAGTCAGGAAGTCAATGGTATGAATGGGGTATGTACAATATTGTGCAAAACCTCATTAAGGTCTCAGTCAGGCAAGGGAGTTTGGTAAGGAAGACTGAAGGAGTGGAACTGAGAGGACAGGGGGAAAAAGATATTTTGGTATCAGGAAAGGGCATGGACTGGGCCACCCAGCAACTAGGAAAGGTGAGACTGAGTATCAGGGATGTCAACAAAAAATAAAAACTGAAATCCTGGGTAGTGGGATAAGAGCACGTAATGTGAGTAAGTCTTGCTGGGGGTTCAGGGGGGCACCATGAGCCCCTTGTAAAATTCTGGAAATTAGGTGCTCTCAGAATGATTATGAGCATGTTTAGGGCACAAAACATGAATATTTTCAGGAGCATTGTTTCTCCTCAGTAGAGGCAGTTATCTATCGTGGTTCGTCATCCATGAACAATAAATAGTCGATCATCGTATTCGCTAAGTTAGTAAATAACCCTATTATCACACACACAAAAGCAGCCAAGTATCTGCTTCAAATTTTCAGCTTTCAGAATAAAGTATTCCCTTTAGTTCCAAGCATTTTCATCTCAAGGATATTACG